GCTCTCCCTCAAGGTGACAGCGCTCCTAATTGTGCCACTCCAGCCGGCACGCYGGAGGGTGCGACCCAGTTTTGGTGCTCGTTATGTGGCTTGCAGCGGTGCCCACACGCTGGAAAAGCTAAATTTAGGAGACAAACAGTTCTGGTGTTACACACCCGGGCAGGACTGGCTCTGTTACGAGAGCTGCAGAATCGATGCCATCCGCTTCCACGCGTTACAGMGGCGCCGAGCAGCCCTCGCTGCCGGAGTGAAAGCGTTACCAAGTCACTTGGAATAAAATTGCCACTAAATGCTATTTGGGAGATGGGAAAAAAAAAAAAAAGGCAAATCCTCACTCTTTCTCAGCTATTGTAGGAAATGAAAACGGCTATTGCTGCCTGGTAGAGAGTCCAATTATGAATAATGTGCGTTCTCTCCCTGCACAAAGGATGAAAGGCATCAGAGCTGGTGGTGACATTTTAAGACCGGAGATGTAAGAGYGGATCTGAGCCTCGTTGCAAGCCCAGCTTTACCCCAATAAAGAAACACTTTCTGCAGTCAATTGCCTTGCAGCGTAGCTTGAAGCCCCGCTATTGATCTAGCATCTGTTATAAGCAGATAATCATCGCCGCTGTGCCATGGCTTCTATGACGGGGTCTAAAAGCACTTTCCAGAAGCTGGTTGAGGGCTGTTTTCTGCTCTCCCCTGTGGCTGCAGGCAGGCAGACGCTTSTGGGGGAGCCCACAAAAGTCTCACAGGTTGACAGAATTTGAAGGCCAGAAGAAAATATTCAATCATCTCAACTCATTCATCTCCCAAACCTGTAAACTTCAGGTAAGTGAGGTGTGCTCCCCACAAGGCTCTGCTGCCATCCCAGCCCTTGCACAGCTATTTCATACCCTGCAATTTCCTATCCCCAGTGAGGTGCTGACACGCCATCATCAAGCCACAGCTCAATCCTTCCCTTTTCTAAGACAGGCAGCGAGAGCTGCTGAAATCTCCCAGCATCAGGCTTTTTTCCTCCTGACCCCAAAAGGTTTCTCGGACTTTGGCTCGCTGAGGTCTGAATCCCGACGACTCCCGAGCTTCTGTCTGCTTCCCAGCAGTGTGGGGAAGTTTTGGGCCAGGCACCTTCCTCCGAGTTTAGCAAGAAGTGGTCAGAGGTAGGTGAAATCGGGCTGCCAGTGCCTGCAATCTCCCCCCTCCCTTCCAGTGCAAGCACTTCTTACCCACTTGGCAGATCCCTCCAGTCTCCAAAGAAGGAGAAAAGGATGGGAAATTAAAAATAAATGAACCAAGAGATACACATCCATCAGGAGCCAGGCGTTGTCAGCCCAGGTCCCTGTGCAACTACTTCTTTAATCAAAACCTCATGCAGCTTAAACGCTTGACAGAAGTCTAGAACAGAGATCGTGTTACCCTGAACAGGAAAAGCTGCAACCTTGAAAAATAAAATCACTGTCTGATGGGGTCTATTTTCTTTAAAATCACGCAAAATTACGCCAAGCTTGTTCCTAGCTGTGACATTTGAGGTTTCACCCTGCAAATTCCTGTGAGACACACGGGTGTCTCAAGRGGGTGACCGGAGGTGATGGGAGGAGTGAGCTCTGGGTCGCCAGCTGAAGATGAGCCATTTCTAAATCGGTCCATGACGCCAGAACTAAATTTTTAAGAGGCTCAAATCAAGAGAAGATTGCTGATGGATGCACTCCTCRCTTAAAACTCACTTGCGTGGTGATGGACGTCAGACTAGCGGCCTCACAGCTATGCCTGGCTGCTACTGAGAGTGACAGAAACCTTCCAGCTTTCTAGAAAGTCCTCGTGTGCCAAGGCTCAGCCAGCTCTTTAGAGCCTCCTGCATGCAGGTTATCTGCCTCTCTTGGCTTGAAAATGTTTGTCCCTGAGGAGTTTTTATTTAATACCTTCCTTAGTTACCAAGGGATGAGAAGTTTCTCCCATCGTTCTGTGGCTTTCCAAACACAGATGGGATTTATTGAAGTTCCTGCTGCTCTGGTCTCATTAACATTTTATGGCACAGCTCCAGAGATGTGCCTGCTCCTTGCCAGGTGCCCCTCTACAAGCCCACAGTGSCTCAGGTCTCCTGGCTGCATTGAACATCTTTGGGGAGTTTTAAGTGATTCCATTCCCAAAATGGCTCCGTTGCTTCCTTTTGGGACCTCACCTGCACCCTGCCTCCTGTGGGACCACAGCTCTTAGCAGCTCCTCTCATAACAGCCACAGCAGGTGGGAAAGCAGAGACAGCACAAGCAGGAGAAAGGAAAAAAACAGGGGAAAAACCTAGAGAATAGTGCAGGAACATATTCAAGCTGTGCCACAACATAACCTGGGGGCTGTCCAGGGACGGACGGGATTTTCCATCCCACAGAGGAGGTGGAAGTAGAAGAGCCCAGGGTCTGGTGAGGAAACGGAGCAGGTGGCCCAGGGGAGACATTCCCAATACCCTCCTGCACATGCCTGCAGGGAGGAAGGTGGGAATTGCAAATCCTGAGGCCTTTCTTGAAGAGCTTYTCTCCCCTGTGGAGAACAGGAGGGAGCATCAGCACAGCCCAGCTGGAGTCTGCAAATTGCCCCACTTAGGCTCTGGTCCTCAAAATTGCTCTTACCCGAACAATCCATCGACCTGACAAGCATCACGTTTTTCCCTGGAGGCCACGCTCCTCCACAGCCTCCAGAGTTCGTGCTTCACCCCCAGACTCTGCAGGTTTTGTCCCAGAGRAACATGCCTGGTGCTTTCCAGGTCACCTTGCTGTGCTCACGGCCTTGGGATGTGCCTCTCCATGACCCAAGCACTGCATGGAGTCGGGTTTTCCCCATCACATATTTATTCAGAGGCATCTCACAGTGAGGACAATCCGGCGCCAAACTTTGGAAGAGGCAGACCTGGCTGGAGTCCAGCAGAAGCAGGGAATTAAGATACTGAACTAAATCAATGCATCCCCACCCAATTTCTATCCAAATCAGGAATTTCATGCACAGGAGGCATTTTGACCAGCGTCCCACATTACTTATTGAGCAGAGAGAGCAAGGAGTGCTTGGCAGTGCAGAAATCYAGTCTTTGCACTGAAGCTCTTGGAAACCCAGAGTGATTCAGATGCAGAAGCAATCTCAGCTGCTGGGAAGGAACTCAAATAGCCAGGGACAGAGGGAGTCTGTGCAGGGGAGTAGGGAAAGAAAGAAGAGCTGCTGGCTGGGTRCAGTCAGGGGACAGTGATCGCATGGAAAAAAGGATGGGGAGGTAAAGGAAGTAGGTCAGGGAAAATCCAAGGATAGCCAGGACTACTCTTGCTGAAATGTACCCAACAGCCAGGGCTTGTTTAGGGCTGCAGGAGCCTTCCAGCATTGCCTAGTGTGAGCCACACACCGAGACTCAGAACACCRGGGAGATGCTCAGGGGTTTGGGCAGAGCAAGGACAGAGGCACACGGATTGTGAGAGCCACGCGGCCCATTCCAGCCACAAACATGGAATGTCACACTCACAGTTTTCCCCAACACTCAGCTCCGACTGCTCACTCAATCCTCCTGCTCCCAGGCGCAGCCCTGCATGTCTGGCTTGGAGTGCCACCTGCTGCCAACGGCTCTCCAGTCCCTGCGAGGGGACAACAGCAGCGCGGAGCAGCAAACTTCCTGCTCTTACATCAGCTTTCCCTGTCCTTTAACAGCAGCCAAACTCCTGATCCAAAAAGCAACGCTATTTCCCAAGCTGCAGGCGTCCCACGAGTCGCAGGCATAGCAGCAGATGCTAATAAAGTACTTTTTTCTGTGCCTTTCATGCAGATTCTCACCAGAGCCAGCCTCTCCCCCCAGAGACCACATCCTGAATCTTCTTGTTCATTGATTCTTTATGCTAAATGATGACTTCGCAGCCGAAATAATGTGGCATATTCCAGCTCGCATTTCAGACACCGTGAGACTTTTTAATAACGAGTTGCATGAAAAATTAGGGAGGCTGCAACAAAGAGCTCCGACAGAGGTTTCCAAAGTGACTCACAGCCAACAGAGCCTCGTTTTTCCAAAGCCCAGCGTGAGACAATCTCGAGAGCCCCCGCACTCAGAGAGAGAGGAGTCCTCCCCCTCTGGAAAAACAAGGCCTTTTTARGGAGAATTCTCCAGGGAGAGAATCCCTGCAGGGAGGTTTGGCAGGCGGGTTTGGGAATCATGGCTGAGATGACATCCTGTTCCCAGGAGTGCTCAGGGATGTTTCACCCCACGCCTCAGCTCTGCTGCTGAGGGTGCTGCAGGGTGGGAGTCACCCYGTCCTGCAGCCAGCCTTGGCTTCCTGCTCAGCACATTGGCTCTGGAGTGCTCCAAAATGGAGCCAGCAATTATTCCTGCTAGTTTTGCAAGCAGGCAGCAAACCAGAGCAGTAACAAGCAGCAGAGGTTTCTCCAGCCCTGGGTCCCAAAGCACCATGGCACCCACAGCCACAGCAAACATCACCCATGCACAGGTATCCTGCTMCTCCTTGGGCTGGCTTGCTGCCAACCCTGCAGCTCTTTGCCAGGCTTTGCAGCATGATGGAGGAGRAATTTTTTCAGGCCAATTTTTGGCTGGCTGTTTTTTTGCTTCCTGCCATCCACACACAAACAGCTGCCAACATATTTCAAGGGGAAGCAGCAGGCAACATATCCAGCACAGCCACCCTGATGGGGATTAATGGCATTCATGCTCAGTCCCAGTCGTGAACAGGGCCTGGCTGCTGGGTGGGACGAGTGGCTGAAGGATGGGTTTGATAGCTCTGCTCCCCCTCCCAAGCTCAGTTCCAACTCCTTCTGTATCCTGCACTGCTCCCACCTTCACCTCCTCTGTGACAGCCCTCGTGGTCACCCCCAGCCCCAGGAGCTGCAGCACAGCTCCCTGCTCACCCACTCCTAAGACCTAATTGAGAACCAGTCCCCCCACCCAGCCCAGCCGACTTCCCAAAAGAGGTTTTTCCTCCCGAAGGAAGCTGGGAAAGGAAGGCTGAGAGCAGAGAAGCAGCTGGCAGACAGGCAGCTCTTACCACATTCCAGAAGAGAGGGTTGAAGGCRATTGAGAGGACGGCCACAATGAAGGCAGTGTCGGTCACATCCACGTAGCCAAAGAGCCGCACCATGGCTGCCACATCCACCTGTGGAGGGAGAGATGGTTACTGGRGTGCAGGATCCCACAGGGACACTTCACCTCAAAGCAAACCCATCAGCTGCCCYAAGGGTAGATTAACTTTTTAACAGCTTCAAGCAATGTCTTGTTACAGCTTACAAAGCCCAGAAGAAAGATGAGGGCTTCTCCAAGCTGTCCCCCCAAACTTCAGGGGCACTGGGCTCTCCAGGAGCCCCACGCTCACAGCAGTGCCCAGAAGGACACAGGCACTGAGGGAACTGAGCACGAGCACCAGTCCTCAGCTGCCAACTCCTGAGTGTTTTAGGAGAGGGAGCACCATTCCACAGCATCTCAGAGGACTGTCCCAGAGATGCATGGAACCCCCTAGCAATGAACTGTGTCAGCTTCAAACTTGGCTTCCATAAAGTGTGATGCAAAACCCCTCCACAGCAAGGGGGAATGCATTTGCACAGTAAGAAACTGCAAAAGAATTTCCTGTCTTAATGACAACAATAAAAACCCCGTTAAAACTCGTTCTCCTTGCAAGAAAGAGAGATTTTTCCCAAGACGGTTCCCTGACATTGTCAGTATTTTTACGTGCAGTAAGACATGCTGCTTCTCCCTCCTCTCTCCCTCTCCCTGTGYTGGTATTTGGATGAAAAACAGCCAGTGTCTTTTTTTTGTTGTTTTTTTTTGGTCAAAACCTTTGAAAACAAAAAACAAAATAGCTCAGCCCAAGCCTTTCCTTCACTTGAAACAAAATCAAGACAACATCGAGACGTGGAAGGTTTTTGCTTCCCCAACACAGCTGTGTTTTCAAGTCCTTTGGATGCCAGGGCACATGAATGGCTCGAAAAGGCACAGGCTCTACCTCACCTGTCCGAAGGAGAAATTCCCACTGGCTCCTCACAGGCTCTTGGAAAGAACCAGAGCCACAGCCTCATCCATGGAAAGGAGCTGGTAAACCCAGCACTCTCCTAGCCCAGAGAAAAGTCCGTGGGAATAGTTCCTGTGGTGGCCCAGGGCACATCCAGTCGCTCCAAGAGCCTCCGGCCCAGCCGTGACCGCCCGCGGTGCAAAGTGCAGGAGCAAAGAGCGCACAGCCCTGGGGAAAGGGGGGATCCTCACGGGGCCACAGCTGCCTTCAAACCACTGCCCCAGATCCTCCAGGCTCCTTACMTGAGCCCTGGGGACACGGGTGCTGGTAGGGAACAACGGCAACAGCCTGCACGGCCTAATCCCAACCCATCTTCTCCTCTTTTCACCCTCCACAGCCTCTCCTCCCTTCCCTTCACCCCCGAGCAGCCCTTCCCCACCAGACCTCATCCCTTGGAACTGCCACGCCATAACCCAAGCAGCTGCTGGCACCGGGGCCGAACTGTCTAATCCCGCTTCAATTGCAATCCCGTGGGACCAGGACAGCTTCTTTCCTCTCGTTTTGTACGGTGCTGAGCACAGTGCTAGCACGGGCTGAACAAAAGCTTCTTGACCTACTAACTCCTGGCAGGCAACATCGTTAACATTGCACTCACCTTCTTTTCTCCTGCTCAACAACCAAATTCGCGGCTGCCAGCGGGAGGCAGATTGGCCTGTGCCTGGCGTGTGCTTTTCGGGATAAAAGGGGAGCCCTAATGGGATGAGCTGTCTCTGCGAGCTGCTGGGACAGCCACGTAACAGGCACAGAACATTCAACTTTGCCCCCTCCTCCACGGTGGGGGATCAATGACCGTGGCCAGCGCTGGCCGCCTGATCACAGCCCCAAAGTCAGGGAGGGTGGGAACAGCACGGGCAGCTGGGTGAGAGCTGTACCGGCACCCAGGGGACCGAGAGAGAGAGCTGCATGGGCACCTGGATGAGACAAAAACGGGCACAAGGCTGAGAGTTGTACAGGCGCTTGGGGGAGAGCAATGCAGGCACTTAGATGAGAGCTGCATGGGCACCTGGATGAGACAAAAACGGGCACAAGGCTGAGAGCTGTACAGGTGTTTGGGGGAGAGCAATACAGGCACTTAGATGAGAGCTGCATGGGCACTTGGGTGAGAGCTGTATCGGCACCTGAGTGAGACAGGAATGGATACCTGGGTGAGAGCTGCATGGGCACCTAAACAAGAGCTGCAGGGAGCCGGTGGCAGCACCCCCGGGCCTCCCACCAGTGCCGGTGCAGCCCCTGCCGCACGGCCGGACCGCGCTGTCCCGGCTCGGCGTGGAACCGGGCTGAGGAGGGCGCCGGGAGCACCTGGGGAACCGGGTACCGAGCATCCCGAGGCCTGCCGCATCTGCGGACACATCCCGGGGGCGACTCCCAGCGGCTCCGCCGAGCCCCGGGATCCATCCCCGGG